CAGACAGATTCCAGTAAGAATTTGCTTTAAAGACACCGCTATCCATGCATTCTTTCGACCAGTTTCTTTTCTGTTGAGATACAATGCAGGTGATGTAGAGAAGGCTGAGAGGAGTGATGTTCCTGACATTGATAAGAAAAATTAGTAATTGCCCCTTTTCACTTCAAATTCTTTTCCCTAGAAAGTTATGAATCCAGTTGTTGTTTACATTTTTTGTTTGCTGCAAATTTAAGTTACTATTTTTTATTTTGAAAATCTTTTTGTAATACTCGGTAAATTGCTAATTGCATATTATTTAAATGTGATTGTTTTGATAAGATAATCTTTTGCCCCTTCTATGTCCTCCCTATTTGTTCTTTGTGATGTTGAATTGGATGGTCGAGGTCTTTTTGATCTTTGTTCTTATGTCAGATCTGTCGTCAGCGACTGTAGCGTATGGTTTTACTAATCTGTTTTCATCGCATTAAATGGGTGATATAGTATGGACTATGCAAATGATTGTGTGTAAAATTAGTCATTTGATGGAGTTAAACATGACATTCTACAAGTACGCATGGGAGCTTCAGAAAATTAAACACGAGTGCTTTTTTAGATGATGTGATTTTACTGTCATTGTGAATGCAGATACCTTGTCCCTGCTGATTTGACTGTTGGACAATTCGTTTATGTTGTTCGAAAAAGAATTAAGCTCAGTCCTGAGAAAGCGATATTCGTCTTTGTCAAAAACACTTTGCCCCCTACCGGTGAGTTGAAGCTTTTACCGTTCCCAGCAACAAAAATACATTCTTGCATTCCACTTCAATGATTGATTTGGTTGTGAATGTGTTTACATGTTTCAGCTTCTTTGATGTCTGCAATTTACGACGAGAACAAAGACGAGGATGGTTTTCTTTACATGACTTACAGTGGAGAGAACACCTTTGGGTCTGTTCAGTGATATACCAAGCTGTGTATATATATTACACAAGTCATGATGTATATTCTAACAAAGTTCTTCCTTTTAGTCACTCTTAACCAGGATGTTTGTTTATGTTTACACTCAGTCGGGATTCGAATGCATGGGATTGAGGTTTCTGGGACTTATTGATGCTGGAGATGGTTTATTATGTGTTTGGAGATGGAAAATGAATGATTGGGAATGAATTCATCAGTATATTCCTCTTGTTTTTTTAACCTTGTTTGGTTGATCAAAGTGGGGTATTTAGAATTCCTAATTGCTAATCAAACTGTCCTGACTTAAAGTTATATCTGCTATTTTTATCCTTCATGATTATCATCATCTTAAGCTAAACTTGAGTTGCACTAGTTGTGAATTTATCAATGTTCTAGAATTGCAGGCACTTCTAAATCTTTCTTATTATTGAATTGATCAATGATACTTATCTATCCACAGTTTCATTGAAATTTTCAACTTTTTTTATAGAAATAAAGATGTTCTAATTATTCAATTAAGTAATAATTCATTGATATACCCAAAGATGAATTAATTAAAATTTTAACTTCATGGAATATACATATCCATTGTTATAAAACTGATGAATTAATATATATATATATATATATTAAATGTTTGAAGTCTAAGAATTGAATGGGATCTAGCAAACACAATATAAGATTGAGAATTAAGAAAAGCATAGTGCCTGGAGCAGACTGGATAAAACCCATGATGCATTTGAGAAAGCTAAAATCAAAAATATGATTTGTACCCCCCCAAAAGAAATAATTTTTACCAAGAAAAAACTCAAAAT